ACGGGGTCCCCCACAGCCCGGCATCGCCGTGGGGTCAGGGGCAACGTGGCGTGGACATGGGGTGGGGCACAACGCGGCACCACGGTGGGGCTGGACACAACCCAGCACGGCATGGCCGTGGGTTGGACACAGCACCGTGGGGTCAGCTCCCTCCTGCCCCTGCTGCCCTCCCCAGGATTGGGCGTCCCACCCAGGCCCCCCCGCTTTGCCCTCCCCCGTCCCCAGCCCTTGCCTCCTCCCCCCGGGTGTCCCCGGAGGGCTGGGAGGACTGGGGGATGCCCCACTCCCGCTCACCATGCAGGCTGCCTGCACCGCCTCCGAGATGGTGCCGGCGTTGGGCTCACACCAGAAGGCCGCGCACTGGAAGCGTCGCCCCGTGTCCACGATGAGTGCGAAGGTGTGGGCGTCCCGGCCCACCCCCAGGAAGGTCACGTACCGCACCTGGCACTCCCAGATGTGTGCCGCCTCCTCGTCCTCCTGCGGGGACCCTGTGGGCCCATCCACCCCTGGCCACCCCCCAGGCAGCCCTGCCACCCCTGCCAGGTCCCCTCTGCTGGGGGGCCGGGTCCCCCATGGGGGTTGCCTGTCCCACCCCGGCGGCAGCAGGGTGCCCGCTTCGGCCGGAGCCCCCCGTCCCCCTCCCCACCTGCACGGGGTGCACCCTCATGGCCGTGTCGGATACGCGGATGAGGGAGGGCGTCCACCGCTCCCGCCCGGGGCCCCTTGTCAGCTTCTCGATGGCCTCGTTCAGCACATCCATCCCTGGGGAGCAGGTGACCCCATCCCATCGGCCCCTGCCCCAGCTGCGGGCACGGTGCAGGCAGGGTGCTGCCAGCCGGCCCCACAGGCAGGGACCGCCCAGCGCTGGGGCATGGCTGCTCAGCCGCCGCAGGGTGGGGGGTTCTCGGGCATCGCCCAGCGGTGGTGGGGCCAGCGGCGCTTACCCATGGCCCTGGGCACAGGCAGGCTGCCAATGTACAACGCCTCGTAGGTCTGCATCGACTGCCTCACCGCTTCCAGAATATCCACTGCCAGGACAGGAGAGGTGGGGGCGACCCCCCGTGTCCTCCCCGTGTTCCCCCCCATCCCCAAGGACCCTGGGGACACAGTCAGGCAGGCCAAAGGGCTCCGGCCGCTGGGCATCCCGCTGCCCGAGGGCAGACTGTGGGCTGGGGGAGCAGCCGGCAGCGTGGCAGGGTCGGTACCTTGCAGTGGCAGGTCCTCGGTGGAGACGGGCTCCAGCGTGGCGGCGCGTGGCAGCCCACTGCTCGCTGCAGCTCGCTCAGCCACGATCTGCAGGAGACGGGAGTCCCGGTGCCTCCCCTCACCCCCGAGACACCTGGGCCATGCCCACACCAGCCGGGGCCCCCGCATCCCACCTTGGAGCACATCTCGTGCAGGGCCTTGGCGATGCCCTTGGCAGGCACGTTGCAGTGGAAGACGTGACACTTGAGGACGCAGGTGTCCTTGTCACTGGCCACGAAGGCGAAGTCTCTGCAAGGCCACGAGCACGCCAGTGAGACCCTGGTAGAGGCAGCCCCCCCATCCCCCTGCTGCCCCCCGGACCCCTGCCCCCTTACCTGTCCCTGCAGCCACAGCAGCAGTCGGGGAGGGAGCAGAAGGGACAGGTTACTGCTGGGGTGCCTTCCCCTCCCAGCGGGCAGAGCCGCCCCCCAGCCCCGGCTCTGCCCCGGCCCCTGGCACCTGCCGTTGTTGCAGCCAACGCCCCAGACGCGGATGTTGAGGATGGGCTGGCAGTGGATGAGGCTGCGGTCAAGGGGGTCCACCAGGCTCATGGTGTCCTTCTTCAGGATCATCACCAGGTCCTGGCCCTGCAGAAGGTCAGCGGCTCCCTCAGCCTGGCAGACAGCCTGGGCATCCCCAGTACCCAGCCCATGTGTAGGGACACCCCCGTCCCCCCAGCCTACTCAGACCCAAGAGTGGGGACAGCCAGACAGCCCTGCCACCCCCTCCCCAGCCCTCCGCAGGTACCATTCCCGTGTGTGGGGACGGCCCACCCAGGGGCCACCCTGGCACTGTCCCCAAGGGACAGCCCTGTCAGACCCACCTGCCCCACACTTGGGACCACCACATGGACGCCCTGTGTGGAGAGAGTTGACTCTGCCACTGGCACTGCTCCCTGCCCACCCTAGGCACGGTCCCCATCGGTGGGGACTGCCAGCCTCAGCAGCAGTGGCCCCGGGGTGGGACCCTGCCTGGCAGCACCTTCCCAGGCTCTCACCTCGCCCCTGTTCTCCGCAGAGCCCTGGCCCTTGCTGTTGGAGAGCTGCTGGATGCAGTTGTTGACGGCGATGCTGCTCTTGCCAGGTGCCAGGTCCTCCTCAGGGATCTCCACCCAGCCCAGCGAGCGCACAGCAAAGCACTGAGCAGAGGCACATGGGGCTTCAGTGCCCGGCCAGCACAGCCACCCCCGTCCCGCACCCCTTGCTGTGCCAGCATGGTCACCCCTGCTCTTGCTCCTATCCCTGTCCCTGCCAGCTGCAGCCTGTCCCTTCCTCTGCCAGCCCCAGCCCACGATGCCGCAGTGAAGCCCCGGGATGCGGTACCTTGGAGCCGGGCTCTGCGCTGTGCTGGAAGTCATCTCCGTGCCAGGGCAGTGAAGTCCTGTGGAGGGACAGGGCGGTGAGGGCATGGCTCCCACTCGGCAGCACGGACCTGGGGCACGCAGGGAAGCGCCAGGAAGCCCTGGCACCGGCAGACCTCCATGCCACCAGCTGGGAAACATCCCATGGAGGTGACCAGCGTGGTCCTGTTGGCTCCAGCGTGTGGGGCTGCTCTGGTGGGGGGCACCAGGGCCCAGCACCCAGCACCGGGGCCCAGCACCGAGCGGTGGTCAAGGGTCAATGGTGCCCCACAAGCCAGCAGAGAGCGTGGGCAGCCCTACCTCCGGGACAGCGAAGCCATGGGGCTGGGAATGGGCCTGTCCTTTGCCGAGTGCTTTGCTGTGAGGGCCTGGCAGTCCTGGGAGAGAAGAGGAAAGGGGTGAGGGCAGCAAGAGAGGCTGTCACGAGGCACCAGGTAGGAGCCTTCCAGGATAGCAGCGCCTCAGCTTCTGGGTATCTCATGTAGCCAGGATGGAGCCAACATGGGGCCTGCTGGAGCCTTTCAAGGGGCTTAACCCTGGCCAGGAACAGGCTGAGCAGGACTTTGGCCTGCTCCAAGGGGAGGCTGGACCAGCGATTCCCAGCGGGCCCTTCAGCAGGCTCCTGCCAAGGGGTGGGATCCAACGCCAGCCCTCACTGCCCTGCCCACATCCCCTACCATTCCCTGGAGTGTCTCCTCTCCATCAGCCTCCGGGCGCCCTCCTGGGCCGGTGGTGTGTGCAGGGTGCTGCCACTGCGTCGTGCCGGTTGGCACATGCCAATAGTAGGTGCCCAGAGAGTCACGGATTTTCCTCCAGCCTGGGGGGAGGTCGGGGTCTGTCTCCAGGCTCTGGTCGCTCCAGAGGTTGTCTGTGCAGAGGAAGAGTGTGAGGCAAGTGGGGGGGGAGGTCCCCCAGCTGCAGGGCACCTTGAGAAGCGAGCAGCTTCACCCAGCAGCGAAAGGGTCCTGCGGTGGCCTCTGGGTGCACAGCTGGGCACATGGCCCAGGAGAGAAGCATGTCGAGGGAAGGCTTGGTGTGATGCCAGAGAGGCTGCAGTAGTGGTGGACCCCAGGCAAGCGATCAGTGCAGACAGCTGCCTCATTGGTGCCCGGAGGGATGGGGTGACCCTGGCAGGGGCACAGAGAGTACAGGCAGCCTAGGCCTGCCAGGGAAGGCACCCTGCAGGGGTGCCCAGGCAGGGCCCGGGGCTGCCAGCACAGAGCTCCCCCCGCCAGCATGCGGTCCCCAGCCCTCTGCCAACACCCCAGGATGTCCGAGGCCGGCTTCTTCCCTGCTTGGCCAGGGAAAGGGGTTGGGGACAGACCCCTGGGGTCTGGGAGGAGGAAAGCGCCCTTGGAGGGTTGCAGCTAGGAGGGGTAGATTAACCCCCTCCTCCCTGCACCGCAGGCCCTGGAGAGGTCACGGAAATGAGCCCGTGGTGCAGCAGAGCAGCGAGCTCTGCTCCTGGGAATGCAGCCCAAAATCCGCAGGGCTCGGCGCACCCCTCGTGGGTGCTCATCCCCCGGGGCCGTGCTGCCGGCGGGCCGGGCGC